CTGCGGCGGAAGCGGGGCGCCGAGGCGCGGCCTAAGCTCTCCTCCCCGGTCCTTCCCAGTCCTCGCCGGGCCTCACCTGCTTGAGTCGGGAGATGAGCACGGTCTTGACTCCGGTGATGTCTAAGTTCCGCCGCTTCAGCTCGGACTTCAGATCGATGACCCGCAGATCGGTGATCTTTTTACCTTCCGCCTGACCCGAGGCGGCCGAGGCTGCCACCGCACCGGTAGCGGCAGCCATCTTAGAAGAGCAGCGCGCTGCCGAGGCAGCGAGTGGGCTGCAGGGCGGCGGCAGCAGCGCCAACTTCCACCCAGGCCTCGGCGGCCGCCGGCGCCGCACAGCGCTGCGCACAATGAGCCGCTGGCCCCTCCCCCGGTCCGCCACCCTAGCGCAACCTGCAGCAGCAGCCAGCACCCGGATGACGGCCGCGCGTGCGCATTGGCTCAGGGACCAGCAGCGGCGCGTACGGTCGGGCGGGCGGCGGACATTTGGGCGGTGCGTTCCCTTGTGTGTACTGGGAGGTCAGGCACGTCCTATCGCAGCAACGTCTGCCGCGCCGCCGTTCCCTCGTCGCTTCGTTAGCCATTTTCTTGCAACTCCTGAGCCTTCAGCAACAACGATGTGTAGGCACTGAATGACAGTGCGCGCGTTACTCAACACAAACCGAGAAGGCGCGTGCGCGCGCTGAACCTCTCAGGGAAATACTTTATCAGTTCTGCTGAATAATCGAAAAATTGTCGCCGGTGTACACCAACGAACTAGGTTCCCCGAGTTCCATTCAAAAGACCTCAAAGCAATTCTGGGACTGTTAGTGCAAAGAATAGGAAGGCCTGGCTTTTGACACATGCCTCATTGGCTGTTTCAGGAGAAAACATCATCGCCCTGCTGATGGCAGCTTAGTTTATTCTAGGGCTGCCCCTGCTCGCTTGAAAACAGGAAAACTTTCGTGTTGACCTCAGGTTTGCTATCCTCCCCGATAGACGTGATGGCTCCACACGAAATTGTTCAATGAATGAGAAAACTAGTTTATAAGTACTTGTTACCGTTATCATATACTGTGTTCACTATTTTGCCCCTCAAAATTTGGGATTCCGAGAACAGTGACCATCTTCTTACGGAGGATCGGCCTGTAGAAGTGAGTACCTATTTGTAATTTTACTTTGTATTATTCATTATCAAAGTGTAAGCACTGATAGAATAAAACGATTCTATAAATTCCATAACGTGAGTATGATGCACAATTAACTATAATGTGTTTCCTGGTTTTACAACTTAAATTCCTGAGATCTGACTCACTTTAGGTTACTTTTTCTGATTGGCTCAAAAAGAAGAAGACTGGACGTTATATAAGAATACCTGACATTAGGGTAGTTCTTTACAGTTTATAAGGCACTTTGACATACAGTAACCCCCTTAATCCTTCCCAACTCTGTGAGGTAAATCTCCGTGAGGCTTAGAGAGATTAAATGACTTGCCCATGTTCACACAGCTGGTATGTGGCAGAGCTGCGCTCAAATCCCAGCCTCCTGATTCCAAATCCAGCTCTGTCTCTGCTACAATATTGGTTTCACAGTAATAGAAGTTTAGAATGCAAAGGTTCCTTAGAAATCTCCTGGCCCATCACTTGAGGTCAGGAGTTCAAAACCAAACTGGTCAAGAGAAAAAACCCATTCTCTACAAAAAATACAAAAATTAGCCGGGTGTGGTTGTGGGCACTTGTAATCCCAGCTATTCGGGAGACTGAGGCAGGAGAATCACTTGAACCCGGGAGGCAGGTGTTGCAGTGAGATCCAGTCACTGCACTCCAGCCTGGGCAACAGAGGCTGGCAACCCTGTCTCAAAAAAAAAGCAAAAAAAAAAAAAAAAAAAAAGCTGGGTGCTGTGGCTCAAACCTGTAATCGCTGCACTTTGGGAGGCCGAGGTGGGTGGATCACTAGAGGTCAGGAGTTTAAGACCAGCCTGGCCAACATGGTGAAACCCCATCTCTACTAAAAATACAAAAAATTAGCCAGGCGTGGTGCCACGCGCCTGTAATCCCAGCTACTTGGGAGGCTGAAGCAGAAGAATCGCTTGAACCCAGGAAGTGCAGGTTGCAGTGAGCTGAGATCACGCCATTGCACTCCAGCCTGGGCAACAGAGCTAGACTCCATCTCAGAAAAAAAAAAAAAGAAAGAAAAAAGAAAAAAAAATGTTCTGACCCAGTCCTCAAGATTGTAAGAGATTTACCTAGGGACTTACAGCTACACTCTCTTGTTTTTGTTTTTGTTTTTATTTTTTTGAGACAGGGTCTCACTGTGTCACCCAGATTGGAGGGCAGTGGTGTAATCATGGCTCACCGCAGCCTCAACCTCCCAGGCTCAAGTGATCCTCCCACCTCAGCCTCCTGAATAGCTAGACTACAGGCCCCTGCCACCCCACCTGGCTAATTTTTGTATTTTTTGTAGAGATAGGGTTTCACCACATTGTTGCCCAGTCTGGTCTCGAACTCCTGGGCTTAAGCAATCCTTTCCCCTCAGCCTCTCAAGTAGCATGCCAGCACACTCAGCTAATTTTTCTTTTTTCTTTTCTCTTCTTTTTTTTTTTTTTTTTTTTTTGTAGAGACAGGGTCTCACTATGTTGCCCAGGCTGGCCTCAAATTTCTGGGCTTAAGCTCTCCTCCTGCCTCAGCCTCCCGAAGTACTGGGATTACAGGCGTGAGCCATCACACCTAGCCCAAATAGGCTTTTAAACTTTTCCTACCTTGAAACATCTTCATTGGACTCAGCTATTTCCTATTGGCAATAGTTATATTACTGTATACTTGTCTTAATGAAAAGTGCATAGCTTATATTAAATAGTGATGGGGAGATAAATCATAAGATGTCTCTCTGAAGATAAGGAAGATGTTTGACAAAACATTTTGAAACTTTTTAAAACATCAAAACCATAAAAGAAATAACAAGATAATGAGAAATTGCTTGGCCAAAATTTGAGAGAAGGCTGAAATCTAGAGAGAGGAGACCACCATTTGGAGTAAAAGAAGTTACTTGCTAATGCTGAAAGGCAGGTGAGATTTGAGCACCACTTTTGGGTGATTTAAGGGACAAAAGGTGGAGCCCAGAGTCTGCCAAAGGAAGGGGGCCTGATTTGCCATCCCAAACTTAGTTTTTTTGTTGTTGTTTTTTGGGGTATTTTTGTTTGTTTGTTTTTTGAGATGGAGCCTTGCTCTCACTCAGGCTGGAGTGTCGTGGCCTAATCTCAGCTCACTGCAACCTCCACCTCCCAGCTTCAAGTGAGTCTCCTGCCTCAGCCTCCTGAGCAGCTGGGATTACAGGCATGAGCCACCACACCCAGCTAAATTTTTGTATTTTTGTAGAGATGAGGTTTCACCATGTTGGCCAGGCTGGTCTCATACTCCTGACCTCGCTAGTCTCGAACTCCTGACCTCGAGTACTCTGCCTGCCTCGACCCCCCAAAGTGCTGGGATTACAGGCGTGAGCCACCGCGCCTGGCCCCAAAGTTACTTTTGAAACACTAAAGGACTGCTCTCTAGAAGAAAACATGAACTTAGAGTAAGGAAAGCCTTGCATAGACTGCAGCCATCTTGATGTCATGCTAATGTCATGAAGTCATGTTCTAAGACGTAACAGTGTCGTATTAATGCCACTGCTACCTAGCAGAAGCAAATGTAAATTATCCTTGAAGGGAGATACAACACATTACCTATGTTCACCAATTGCTTTTACAAATATTTTTAAAGTTACAGTGTCTAGGTCAGGCACGGTGGCTCACGCCTGTAATCCCAGCACTTTGGATGGCCGAGGTGGGAGGATCACCTGACGTCAGAAGTTCAAGACCAGCCTGACCAACATGGTGAAACCCCGTCTCTACTAAAAATACAAAAAGTAGCCAAGTGTGGTGGCACGTGCCTGTAATTCCAGCTACTGGGGAGGCTGAGACAGGAGAATCGCTTGAACCAGGTGGCAGAGGTTGCAGTGAGTTGAGATTGCACCACTGCACTCCAGCCTGGGCAACAGAGTGAGACTGCATCTAAATAAATAAATAAATAAATAAATAAATAAATAAATAAATAAATATCTGCCCTTAAGACGCAGAATAGAGGATTGGAGGCCGGGCGCGGTGGCTCAAGCCTGTAATCCCAGCACTTTGGGAGGCCGAGACGGGTGGATCACGAGGTCA